AAAAAAGCCCTGACAATGATGGCTACTAATCAGTAGGGCTGTGCTTTGCATGCCTTGTTATTACCTTCAGAGGTAATTTTCCTCATCACTTATACCTGCATCATTGCTATACAAAAGCAGACAGAATCATATCTGTGCTTCTCATAGTAACCAATTCAATAAAAGTTTGAATTCTCCAATTTAGGGCACCCAGATGAAAGCTGGAATCTGATTGGTTCCTATAGCTGCCCTTTCTTTTTGAGACTAATCCAGTACTTATCACAGTGGCCATACTGTGTGACATCATAACATGTGGTGTGGATCCTCCATCTTTCAGGAACAGTACATCTTCCTCTACAACGTCTTGCTGGAGTCTCTTCTGTGTGGGTCCACCAGTGTCCCCGTAGCGAAGATTCAGGAGCACATTCACCGTATGTCTGTAGAAAGCCCCGCAACTGACATGACCGGGTTTGACGAGGAATTCCAGGTAAAGAATTTGGGTTTATTTCCTTTTTTTTTCATGTCATTGTTTTATCTACATTTACTCTGCTGGGGCTGAAATCATTAAGTCCAGTTCTTGTACCTAGACCTAATATCTGGTCCTCTGACATTTTTGCATTTCTGGGCCCTATGATAACATCGCTCAACATAACACTTACATTGGCATTGCCGTCTGAAGAGCAACCCACTGTGCATGGTTTTACAGAGGAAGTTTGACGAGAAGGGGTTATGATGCCCCCTCACTGCCTGTTCTAACCAGAAGCCGGCACCACGGTTGTGGAGTGGCCCCATTCACCTAAATGGGTCGTGTTCGGTGGGCAGCACTGAGCATCGGACACAACAGCGGAGATAAATTTTAGCAAAGCATTTTGACTGCAGTGTGTGTACAACTCCGTATGTCTGCCTTTGCAGTTTTGGGGTGGTAAGAGCAAGGATCAAACATGTAGGAGATACAGCGCCTTGAAAAAGTCTTCATACCACTTGAAATGTCAACCATGTTGTCATGTTACATCCAAAGCCGTCAATGTATTTATTGGGATTGGATGTGATGGACCGACACAAAGTGGCACATAATTGTGAAGTGGAAGGAAAATGAGAAATGGTTTCCAACATTTGTGACCAATAAATCTGTGAAAAGTGTGGCAGCATTTGTATTCAGCCCCCTTTACTCTGATACCCCCTAACTAAAATCTAGTGGAACCAATTGCCTTCAGAAGTCATCGAATTAGTACATAGAGTCCCCCTGTGTGTCATGTGATCTCAGTATAAATCCAGCTGTTCTGTGAAGCCCTCAGAGGATTGTTAGAGAACATTAGTGACCAAACAGCATCATGAAGGCCAAGGAATACACCAGACAGGTCAGGGATAAAGTTGTGGAGAAGTTTAAAACAGGATTAGGTAATAAATAAAATCTCCCAAGCTTTGAGCATCTCATGGAGCACTGTTCAATCCATCATCTGAAAATGGGAAGAGTACGGCACAACTGCCAACCTACCAAGACATGACTGTCCACCTAAACTGACAGGCTGGGCAAGGAGAGCATCCATCAGAGAAGCAGCCAAGAGGCTCATGGGAACTCTGGAGGAGCTGCAGAGATCACAGCTCAGGGGGGAGGATCTGTCCTCAGGACAACTATTAGTCGTCAGTCCACAAATCTGGCCTTTATGGTAGAGTGACAAGAAGAAGCCATTGTTAAAGGAAAGCCATAAGAAGTCCCGTTTGCAGTTTGTGAGAAGCCATGTGGGGGACACAGCAAACATGTGGAAGAAGGGGCTCTGGTCAGAGGAGACCAAAAAGGGACTTTACGGCCTAAAAGTAAAAGGCTATGTGTGGGGGGAAAACTAACACTGCCCATCACCCTGAACATACCATCCCCACCGTGAAACATGGTGGTGGCAGCATCATGTAAAAAATGTTGAAAACCATTTCTCATTTTCTTTCCACTTTGTGTTGGTCTGTCACATCAAATCCCAGTAAAATACACTGATGTCTTTGAATGTAACATGAAAAAATGTGGAAAATTTCAAGGGGTATGAATACTTTTTCAAGGCACTGTACGCCATCAAATCTTTGTTAAAGCTTTTTTTCAGGCAAAAGGCATATAAAGATCCTCAGCTGTTTAATTTCAATATAAGGGATGAACGAACTGTGGGGAATCGTGGATGAACGAACTGTGGGGAATTGTGGGGAACTGTGGATGAACGAATTGTTGGGAACTGTGAAGAATCGTGGACGAACGAATTGTAGGGAACTGTGGGGAATTGTGGATGAATTGTAGGGAACTGTGGGGAATCGTGGATAGAACAAACTGTGGGGAACTGTGGGGAATTGTGGGGATTGTGGATGAACGAATTGTGGAAGAACGAACTGTGGGGAATTGTGGATGAACGAACTGTGGGGAATTGTGGATGAACGAACTGTGGGGAATCGTGGGGAATGAACGAACTGTGGGGTAATGTGGGAACGAATCGTGGATGAATAAATTGTGGGAAAACTGTGGGGAATCGTGGAAGAACGAACTGTGGGGAATCGTCGAAGAACGAACTGTGGGGAACTGTGGGGAATTGTGTGGGGAATCGTGGAAGAACGAACTGTGGGGAATCGTGGGGAATCTGTGGATGAATAAATTGTGGATGAACGAACTGTGGGGAATCGTGGAAGAACGAACTGTGGGGAATTGTGGGGAATTGTCGATGAATGAATTGTGGGGAACTGTGGGGAATTGTGGATGAACGAACTGTGGGGAATCGTCGAAGACGAACTGTGGGGAACTGTGGGGAATTGTGGGGAATCGTGGATGAATGAACTGTGGGAACTGTGGGGAATCGTGGATGAATAAATTGTGGGAAACTGTGGGGAATCGTGGATGAACGAATTTGGGGAACTGTTGGGAATCGTGGATGAATGAATTGTGGGGAACTGTGGGGAATCGTGGATGAACGAACTGTGGGGAACTGTGGGAATCGTGGATGAACGAATTGTAGGGAACTGTGGGGAATCGTGGATGAACGAATTGTGGGGAACTGTGGGGAATCGTGGATTAGCGAATTGTGGGGAACTGTTGGGAATCGTGGACGAATGAATTGTTGGGAACTGTGGGGAAATGTGGATGAACGAATTGTGGGAAACTGTTGGGAATCGTGGACGAATGAATTGTTGGGAACTGTGGGGAATCGTGGATGAACGAATTGTGGGAACTGTGGGGAATCGTGGATGAACGAATTGTGGGGAACTGTTGGGAATCGTGGACGAATGAATTGTTGGGAACTGTGGGGAATTGTGGATGAATGAACTGTGGGGAATTGTGGATGAATGAACTGTGGGGAATCGTGGATGAATGAATTGTTGGGAACTGTGGGGAATTGTGGATGAATGAACTGTGGGGAATCGTGGATGAACAAATTGTGGGGAATCGTGGATGAATGAACTGTGGGGAATTGTGGATTATCAAATTGTGGGGAACTGTGGGGAATCGTGGATGAATGAATTTTGCCTTTTTACAGCTGTCTGACCTGGAGGTTTTTTTTCCTTTTCAGGCCCTGGAGAAGATCACAGAACTATATCAGATCTATCCATGTAAAGAGGGGAGGAAACTAGAAAACCAGACCAAGAACCGTAACCCCGATATCCTGCCAGGTAATGTGGTCATTGCTAAACCCGTCCAATCTGTAAATCTGTCTGCAGGAATCGATTCGTAACCACTTGATGACCAGCGATGTACATGTACGCGGACTACAGGTGGTTATATCGGGATGATGTCCACAGCCGCAGGTGACGTTTTTTAGACCAATGGTTGACTTTCTTATAAAAGCAATCCTAGTGGCTAATTAGCTGTTGGATTGCTTTTACAAGCAGCAGGACGGGATGCCCCCCCTTACTCCACCTTCCTCGGCTTTCATGGGTTCCCGTCCTACCCAAGAGACCCAATTATCCAGTCAGCGCTTCCACAGCTGACCAAAGAGATCATCAGAGACTGGAACGGCTCTTATCACCTCTATGGTATAGAAAACCAGAAGCACTGAGCATTCATCACATCCAGTTTTCCTGGATGTAAACGGCGCCATTTTTAATTGGGCAAAGCATTTCACCGCATCAATCTTGGTGTGATTAGATGTTTTTAAGGGCAGAGGAGACATCTGGGGTCTGAGAGAGCCCAGATCTCTCCATAAAGAGGACCTGTCACTGCCTATAGCTGTCACAGTACAGATTCCTTCCATAAGAGTGCTATCTTGGTTTTGGGTGGTTTTCTGACCTTTTCTTGGTATCTAGAGATTGCCAAACTTTCTCTTCTGAATAAGTGATTGAACTGTACTGATTTACATATTCACAGCTTTGCATACCCCACACCATAATCCCCCCTCCACCAAACTTTACGCTTGGCACAATGCAGTCAGGCAAGTACTGTTCTCCTGGCCACCACCAAACCCAGACACATCCATTGGATTGCCAGACAGAGAAGCATGATTGGCCACTCCAGAGAACACATCTCCCCTGCTCTAGAGTCCAGTGGCGGCATGCTTTACACCACGGCATCCGATGCTTTGCATTGCACTTGGTGATGGAAGGCTTGGATGCAGCTGCTCGGCCATGGAAACCCATTCCATGAAGCTCTCTACGCACTGTTGTTGGGCTCATCTGAAGGCCACACCAAGTTTGGAGGTCTTTAGCTATTGACTCTGCAGACAGTTGGTGACTTCTGCGCACTGTGCGCTTCAGCATGCGCTGACCCCGCCCTGTCATGTGACGTGGCCTACCACTTGGTGGCTGAGTTGCTGTTGTTCCCAGTGGCTTCCACTTTGTTATAATCCCACTAACAGTTGAGTGTGGAATATTTAGTAGCCAGGAAATGTCCGGATGGACTTATTGCCCAGGTGGCCACCTATCACGGGACCACGCTTGGAGTCACTGAGCTCCTGAGAGCGACCCATTCTTTCACCAATGTTTGTAGAAGCAGTCTGCATGCCTAGGGGCTTGGTTGTATACACCTGTGTCCATGGAGGGGATTGGAACACCTGAATCACATGATATGGAGGGGATTGGAACACCTGAATCACATGATTTGGAGGGGATTGGAACGCCTTAATCACATGATATGGAGGGGATTGGAACACCTGAATCACATGATATGGAGGGGATTGGAACACCTGAATCACATGATATGGAGGGGATTGGAACACCTGAATCACATGATATGGAGGGGATTGGAACACCTGAACCTCATGATATGGAGGGGATTGGAACGCCTGAATCACATGATATGGAGGGGATTGGAACACCTGAATCACATGATATGGAGGGGATTGGAACACCTGAATAACATGATATGGAGGGGATTGGAATGTCTGAATCACATGATATGGAGGGGATTGGAACACCTGAATCACATGATTGGAGGGGATTGGAACACCTGAATCACATGATATGGAGGGGATTGGAACACCTGAATCACATGATTTAGAGGGGATTGGAACACCTGAATCACATGATATGGAGGGGATTGGAACGCCTGAATCACATGATTGGGAGGGGATTGGAACACCTGAATCACATGATATGGAGGGGATTGGAACACCTGAATCACATGATATGGAGGGGATTGGGAATCACATGATTGGGAGGGCAGGGGCAATACTTTTAGCAATATAGTATGGATATATATATATAGTGACAGACCCAACCAGGACAGGGGCTTTTAGAGGGGACTATGGGCTAGCCCTCTACTCATTGATTATGGTCCATAGAGAGAGCAGATCATTCTCCAATGACTGGCAATATAGTGCGTGTACCAAGGCCAAACATCCCGGGGGATGGAAATCTTTGATCCGGGCAATTTCTGGTATCAATGATTTAAAAAGCAGCCAAAAAAAACTATGTGATAATAAGCGGCTTCATATGGTCACTGTTCATAAATAAACAGTCTTTGGCGTGATTGGTCATATTTTCCATATCGATGCCATAATTCCACCATTTTTGCCGGGGGAGGCAAACGTTTGAGCACAGCTGCAGAGAGGCCCTCTGGGGTCCATGTATAAAACGTTCATGGTACAGATGTGACAAATATTCGCACAATAAAAGCGAAAAGTGATGCACTTCTTTATTATGTGTGATTTCTACATTGTCAGCGTCCCTTAGTCCTCATCACACTTTTTTTCTGAAATACCTCCAGCATGAAAAAAAAAACCTGTATTGACATATTGTAGCCACTAGATGGCACTGATGACATAGGAATCACACAGACAATTGCAGCAATATTTGCCCTGCTTGTGTATGGAGGTCATATCCACACAGAAAACATTTTTGCATAGACACCAGGGGCGGACTGACCATTTGGGAACTCGGCCACTGTCCAAGGGCCCGGGGTCAGTAAGGGGCCCCATGAGATGCCCCTGGTACCTTTCATAGGCTTTTTTGGGTGTGGTTTGAGTGTGGGCGAGGACACAGGGGCCCCATGATTCCCTATTGCTCGGGGGAGTTGTCAGTCACCTCTACCCCCCCCCCCCCCCTCCTGACACAGTGATATCTTTTTCATTCTAGCGTTCTCTCTTTATGCCCCCAGGTGACCAATGGCGGCCCCTCTTGCTGTCCGAACTCACCAGACATGGAACTCCCGGATACATCAATGCCGTGTTTGTTAATGTACGTCTAACCCATGACGACATGATGAGTGCACTGAAAGTGGTACTGAACCCAGAAGCCAACATTTCTTCAATTTTCTTAGATGTGACGGCTGCATTCGTTTCCTTTTTTTTAGGCTCTCTTTCGTCTATTTTCATCCGGTAATCCAGCCAGAAAGTCTGTTGCTTTTCACAAGCTCAAGCTCTCTAGCAGAATATATCAGATGAGACAAACTACTTAACACTGGAAGGGGTGACCACATGATCGTCTTTTATTTATTCATGTAAAACCTTTATCCCAAAATGAAAAAAAAAAAAACAAACTGCAACTGAATATAAAGTGTGAGCTGGAGTTTGGCTGCAATGTGTGAGTGTATCTAAATCTGCTAGGCCATCTAACACTCCCCTTCCCCCAGACCAGGGGCGGACTGACCATTTAGGCACTTGGGCACTGCCCGGGGTCAGTAGGGGGCCCCATGAGATGCCCCTGGTACCTTTTATAGGCTTTTTTGGGTGTGGTTTGAGTGTGGGTGAGGACACAGGGGCCCCATTATTTCCTATTGCACGGGGGCCCCATGAGTCGTCAGACCGCCCCTGCCCCAGATTGACAAGGTTGCTGTCTGCTGAAAATGTATATTATATAGGGTGCGCTTGTTAGAGCCCAGCCTCTGTAGCTGTAGGATAAAGGTGCCACATGGATAGCAGGGATGGATGGATGGATATCAGGGATGGATGGATATCATGGATGGATGGATATCAGGGATGGATGGATATCATGGATGGATGGATATCATGGATGGATGGATATCAGGGATGGATGGATATCAGGGATGGATGGATATCAGGGATGGATGGATATCATGGATGGATGGATATCAGGGATGGATGGATATAATGGATGGATGGATATCAGGGATGGATGGATATCATGGATGGATGGATATCAGGGATGGATGGATATCAGGGATGGATGGATATCATGAATGGATGGATATCAGGGATGGATTGATGGATACCAGGGATGGGATGGATACCAGGGGGATGGATGAATAGATATCAGGGATGGATGGATACCAGGGATGGATGGATGGATATCAGGGATGGATGGATGGATATCGGGGATGGATGGATGGATATCAGGGATGGATGGATGGATATCACGGATGGATGGATATCAGGGATGGATGGATGGATGGATATCAGGGATGGATGGATGGATGGATATCACGGATGGATGGATATCAGGGATGGATGGATGGATATCAGGGGGATGGATGGATGGATATCACGGATGGATGGATATCAGGGATGGATGGATGGATATCAGGGATGGATGGATGGATATCACGGATGGATGGATATCAGGGATGGATGGATGGATATCAGGGATGGATGGATGGATGGATATCACGGATGGATGGATATCAGGGATGGATGGATGGATACCAGGGATGGATGGATGGGAGTAGTAACACTTAGGCAGCTCTTCTTAAAGTGGAAGCAAGGCTCTAATGCAGTAACATGAAAAAAAAGAGGAAGATGCCTCTAAGTGCAGTATTGACAATTTATTAGTAACGATAGATAAATGTATCCATTGTTTACAAATAAATTGTCAATACTGCACTTAGAGGCACCTCCCTCTCTATTTCATGTTTTTGTCTGCTGTGCCTCCTCTGCTCATTCCCCCAAAGTGGCATCTCACTAATACAGGAGGTGTGTTACTGAGCAGATCACCAGGTGAAACAGAGGGGGGGGAAAAAATAGGGGAAAAAAAAAAGAAAACTAATGCAGCCACCACATCTAATGATGGCATTTTTGTACCTCATTAACCAGAACGCATGTGCAAGATTGCTGTAAAGAAACCTGTGACAGACCTTGTTGGTGCATTGTGATCACTAGACATGCGCATGACCATGTGTTTCCTTCCGGATCGATTCGTTAAGTTACTAACCTTGTTTTGTCTATTCGTTTTGTTTTTTTTTATCTGGAATCAGATTTTTTTTCCAGTGGATTTGAAGAATTTTAATCAAATTCAAAAATATCGAATTGATCTAAATTAATTGCGAAGAATAGCTTTTTCTATTCCAAATCTGAATTTCAGAAGACGGCTTTGTTTGGTTTTTTTTTGCATTTTTTTTTTTTACATCCTGTCACCAGTGCAGTACAGCGTCATCATGTAAATGGTGCGGCGGTGATCAGAGACACTGACTGGTGACATCTTGAAAAGAAATTATTATTTTTTTTTTTTTTTTTGCCTTTTCTTTTCTAAATTTGAATTTCAGAGGACGGCTATATTGTTTGGTTTTTTTTTTGCGTTTTTTTTTTTTATTTTTTTTAACATCCTGTCACCAGTGCAGTACAGCGTCATCATATAACTGGTGCGGCGGTGATCAGAGACACTGACTGGTGACATCTTGAAAAGAAATTAATTTTTTTTTTTTTTTTTGCTTTTACTATTCTAAATTTGAATTTCAGAGGACGGCTATATTGTTTGTTTTTTTTTGCTTTTTTTTATTTATTTTCTTTTTAACGTCATGTCACCAGTGCAGTACAGCATCATCATGTAAATGGTGCGGCGGTGATCAGAGACACTGACTGGTGACATCTTGAAAAGAAAATTATTATTTTTTTTTTTTTTTGCATTTTCTTTTCTAAATTTGAATTTCAGAGGACGGCTATATTGTTTGGTTTTTTTTTTTTTTTTTTTTTTTTTTGTTTTTTAACGTCATGTCACCAGTGCAGTACAGCATCATCATGTAAATGGTGTGTGGCGGTGATCAGAGACACTGACTGGTGACATCTTGAAAAGAAATTATTATTATTATTATTTTTTTTTTTTTGCCTTTTCTTTTCTAAATTTGAATTTCAGAGGACGGCTATATTGTTTGGTTTTTTTTTTTGCGTTTTTTTTTTTTGTGTTTTTTTAACATGTCACCAGTGCAGTACAGCGTCATCATATAAACTGGTGCGGCGGTGATCAGAGACACTGACTGGTGACAGCTTGAAAATAATTTTTTTTTTTGCTTTTTTACTACATTTGTTTTACAATTTATTTAAACGCAGTTTTTTTTTTCCATTTTTACTACATGTTTTTTAATTATTTGTTTGAACACACGGTGAGCAGAGCAATATAGTGCTACCATAGTAACATTGTACCAGTCTAGGTAAGTGATCAGGATTTTGTTTTTTTTTTTACACATTATGATTGTTTATAGCACTAAATTCCATTCCTATAAGAAAACATTTTTACTAAATGAAATATATATATATATATATTCAGTGTGTATTGTTGGGATTAGCTGTGATTGGCCACACTAATCACATGGTACAGATAGGTTGTGGATGGCACTGTCTGTACCATGTGATCACCAGGGGCGGACTGACAACTCATCGGGCCCCTGGGCAATAGGGGATCACAGGGGCCCCTGTGTCCTTGCCAAAACTCAAAAAAGCCTATGAAAAAGGTACTATGGCCATCTCATGGGGCCTCCTACTGACCCCAGGCCCTCAGGCAGTGCCTGAGTTTCTAAATGGTCAGTCCGCCCCTGATGATCACTGTGACCAATCACAGCTAGCAACACAATTGTAACAATGAATGGCATAAAGTCCATTCATTGTTTGCAATTGTCCTGTGATCTGCTGTGATTGGTCACAACGATCACATGGTACGGCAATGGGCCGGGACAGTGATCTGTCATCTAGCACCTAGTCATGTGATATCCACCTGGAATGGAGAAAAGTCCCGCCCATCCATCATTTTGCAATAGGCCTGGCGAGAAGTTAATACCCACAATGCATCACTGACTGCAGGTCTTGTCCTGATTGGTGTATTAATAGTGAAATCTCTTCACTATTGGTCACCAGCCCAACATATCTTTTTAGAACGAATGCCACCCAACCCGTCCTGCTCTGTCCTCCCTTGCACAGTACTGCTTAGGAGGACACGTGAAAGCTTAGATCACGCATACATTTCTGCAACACA